GTACCCAATTTTCGCTTAACTTGATTATAGAAGGACCTGGTTCTTCTATGTGTTCCAACTACTGCTGTTTGCGGAATAATTAGTAAGAAAAATAAAGAACATAGAAATTTTTACGTGGAAAACACCTGGTTCAAAAGGTAAAAAAACCACGACCTATTACTCAGTAGGATTTTCCCAAACTTCCACTAAAATCACTGGGCCAAAAATTGCATTTACAAAAACTCTTTTGTAAACCTAGGATTAACTCTAATCTTGTTGTGACACACAGCGTCAACTGTTGCGACAATTTCAAGTTAACTCTAACTTGAACACTCTAAGTACCTAATACAATTGCTTCTATAAAAGCTGAAAGGTACAATGTAAAATCACCTACTACAATCGAACTAGAATAAAAGATTAGACACTTGGAACTGGTTCTTCTATCTTGTTCAAGTAGCTTCAGGATTGCACGCTTGAATCGCACGTAAATTGCTTAATTGCCTTGCTATTTTGCTAATTCACGTTTAACTTCTGCTTATGTGCATTACCTGTAAAAGAGAACAATACTGATATTTAAGGAGTTAGTAATTAGAGATTGACTGGGATACAGATGCTAATCTTCTATGGTAGAAAAGTTCTACTTGATCTCATACTCTAATTCTATCCTTTTCCTAAACTGTGTTCTCTTCGTGTAAGGAGTCTTTCTCTCTTTATCCAATATGCAACCTTTTCGATCAGATCAGGAGATATTACTTCTGATAAGTTAGATTTATCTCCGTCACATGCATTTCACATGTTTGGGTTGATCACGACTGTACTTCACAAGATGAACCTGGTCCATATTTGAGTTCCTTTTGTCAGTCTTCAAAACTTCACATTTACTTAGGCCAACAGTCTTTTTTCATCTTCTTGAGTCGAGGGTCTATCGAAAACAACATCTCTACTCCTCAGGAGTAGGGGGTAAGGTCGACGTACACACTATCATACTCATACCCTATGGGTAAAAGAAAAACGATTTAATCATTTGCTTTAATAATAAACATCAGAAAGATTTTAGTTATTTTTGGATTAATGCGAGACATCGATTCGATTTATTTTATTAAGCACATATTACTACTACCTCGATTCGATTTATTTTATTAAGCACATATTACTACTACCTCTGTCCTGGAATCACAGGATAAGTACAAGAATATAATTTTGTGCAAACGTACAGTATAAGAAAGCTTTTTCCTTCCGTGAAGGACATGATCCGTGATAGGAAGGTGTGGATGCCGAAGATTAGGATAGTAGGTTAGGTAGTCTAGATTATTCATATCGGTAGTATTAGTACATACTCTCGCATTTGGTTGGTAGTAGGCTTATTTGAGTACCTGTCGTTTTTTTTCATTTCGATCATCTTACTATCTTGTTATGTATGCTGCTTTTACATGGTTTTTCGGTGTTGACCCATCTTGTTTTCTTGTTATTATTGTGGTACCTATTCTTGCCTCAGCCGAAGGTCTATTGGAAATCGCATCTCTACCTCCTCAAGGTAGGGTTAAAGTCTGCGTACACACTACCCTCCCCAGACCCCACTATGTGGGATTATACTGGGTATGTTGTATTCCTTGTTACTTTATGGTTTAGCAAAACTTCGCACTTTCACAAAACAACGTTAACCATAGGGCACAAATATACGTGAAGCTGCAAACTTCAGCGTTCCTAAAGCAAAAAGATTTAGCGCTATTGCCAAATACAACTAAATAATTTGTGCTAAGACGTGAATAAGGGAGCTTAAAATATGTGTAACATCGAATAATCTCCCTCAGCAAAAAGTTATAATTAGTTGAAAATTACCCAAGCAATCAACACATTGAGCTTTGAGAAGATTTAGACTGTCCCAAGACTTCGAAGCCTGATTTGACATCTCTTTGCAAAAGATATAAATAAAATAAAAAACAACAAAAGATACTACGACAATTAGAGCTAATAAATTTATCATGAGATAAATGAATGCATTGAAAGACGAAGCTAACAAGAAATAGCACAATACCAAGTTCGTGAAATGTGTGAAACAAATCTGCTAATGATTGAGTCATAGTTTAAAAAGCAGATTATGGAGCCTTCATGACAAACGTAAGAGGATAAGAAAACCAAGTCTAGGCAATCCTCGGTAGGCATGCAAACAAAATGAGGCAGAGAAATGAGAAAATACGGATGAAACAAGAACATGCACACATGTGAGCATCTTACACGATGAACAAAATAATCTCAGCGATGACAACATGAGTTGCTTTAGTTCCAAGAAACAATTTATTCCTTTAAAGATATCATGTCATTGCATAAGAGTGCTGATAGCTCGAACCTTCTATTCAAGACAACGTTTCCAAGATCAAATATAGGGCTTAGAAGCAGGATAATTCCATCGGTCACAACAAGGACCAGACATTCATCATTCCAAGTTACAAGAAAAGATATAGTATCAAGTTACTTGGCAAATACAGATCCAAGCACATACATACAGTTCATAAGTGGCTCAAAGATGACCAATTGTGAAATAGAAATTCAGAAGGTAGATCCATTCCAGCCAAAGAAGGAACCCTAAAAAAAAAGAGCAACAGTCATCAGTCTTGTCAGATTTAAAAGGACAAAATACTATATGACCGACACCCCTAAAGTAGAACACTATATTCACAAATATTTAAGGAATCAGAAAAGTATAAAACTTCTCCTCGTGTTCTTAGACGGTGAAAAGTTTAATTACATGATCTAGCACTGGTGTAAAGCATGCAGACATTGTGCACATTCTTGACTTTGGTGGGCCTAAACAAACAGGAAGAATGCAATGAGAGAGATGCGGATAGTTTACCCATCCTTGAAATATTAAGAAGCCAAGCACATTACCTTAGTATCATAGAATTTCAGGAAAAATCGAGATTTGGGGATAGACAATTTAGTCTCAAGTATGCCAGCAATTGCAGCACTGAGCTTCTTGTTAACATCAGCATTTAAGCCCCCAATCGAGACCAACTCACCATAGGCAGCTGGTTGTTCTGTACCCCCAAAAGACATGGGAACCGATCCCTTCAACACAATCATGACATACTGCACAATGAAAGCAATCTTAATGTACTACCAGAGAAACCATCCGAATTAGAAAACGCCACTAGAACATGTCAATTGAGCTTCTGTATAGAGTACAAGGCAAAACCATAGAGTGAAGCTACTTGCTTAAGTATTCATCCACGAATGAATTTGATACAAATAGGCCATTACTTTCTACTTAGTTAGATTTAATAATTCATCAAACGCCAGAGACTGATTCTCTCGTAAAACTATCTTTGAGAAACACCAGCAAAACAGCTCTTTTTTCCTCCTCAGTCAATATCTAACATTCCAATGCTTATTATTGGTCTCCCCTCGACCAACAGTTTTTCTCGGTAACATCAATACTTTTCTCCTCTCAATTTTAGGGGCTCTTCCGCTCTTGAAGTTCATTGTCAGTCAAATACATAATAGGGTTGATTGATTTGATGGATAGAACTGAGAGGAAAGGAATGAACAAGAAATATAGTGCATTAGAAGTCAAACTAATCTATTTACTCATGTTTCCAAGCTACTCTTTCCTTTCCATCCTAAATAATAGAACTTAGATAGGATTGTTTAGCATATTGCAAATAATTTTGGTTATTAAAGATGTTAAGGTTGCCCTTTCTGATCCTTGATTTTCATTCTGTAAGACAGATGTGCAGTGAACAAAAAATGACAAGTTAGCCGGAGTAAGAATCATGAAACTGGAGTCAAAACATTTGGTAAACAATCTCAAGCAACTAACAAACGCGCATTGTGCCAAAACATGAGCATTCAATTTGGGGAAAACAGTATTTTCCAAACCTACAAGCTTAGGTTGTACATTGAGACAAAACTTTGATCAATCTCCAACAAAAAAAATATCAAAACATAGTAACCTTGATAAGGTTCATAGGGTTTTCTATTGCAATGGGAAACAAATTCATGTATGCAATAACAACTAATTGGGAGTTACGTTTTAGTCATGTTTGTACATTTACTTTAGATTCACTATTGGCTGTCTATTCGTCCATCTATAGGAAATGTAGAGAATGTCTAGTGCTACAACAACAACAACCAAAGACTCAGTGTAATCCCACAAGTGGAGTAGGGTGTATGCAGATCTTGCCCCTACTTGATAAGGCAGACAGACTGTTTTCGGTAGACACTCGGCTCAGAATTTCTAGTGCTAGAGAACCTTAAATACTGGACTGAGACGAGTTACATCGTCGACCGCAACTAGCTTTGGATTGAGGCAATGTTGTTGTACAGTACTCTTTATGTAATTTTATATTACTGTTTTATTTGGAACTTTGACATAAAGTGTACAAGTAACTTAAGCACACAGAACGACACCCAATAAAATACACACATATAAGTTAACATCAGTGTATATTTGTAACTGTGCAGGCATTTCAAGGCTAAAAAAAAAGCGATCTAAAGTAAAATAGTACTAAAATTTAACATTTGTGCATCTATGTAATTGAATTTAGATGAAAATAGGAAAGGAGTAAAGTGAACATACGGCCTCTGGTTTGCCGATGAGTTTGGCAACAGAAGAGGTAGCTTCAGAAAGAATAGAGGAAGTATCAACTCCCTCCAAATTCACGTTTGTCGAAATGTTAAGGCACGGCATTTTTCCTCTCTGTTCTCGACCAGTGCTGTGAAACCCTCAAAATTAGCTTCGAATCTTTCACAATGCCTATTTTTCTCCACCAAATAAAAAGATTGGGTGTTTTGTGTTTGTACCCTAAAGTACTGACCTTCCGCACTTTGCTTCATTTCTTTAATAAACCCCCTAGCTTCTTTAGTTTCAGAATTTTTCCCCGAGGTTTTACTTTGTAACATTAACCTCCCTTATATAGTTTATAATAGTGTTATATTTACCTCCCTTAATTTGATTTCATTTTAACAAGTTCGTTTACCTATTCATCACTAATACAAAAATAAGAAAAAATCATCTTAACTTTTTGGCTTGTGCTAGAATTTGATCTCTGCTCTCTTATTATTCATTCTATTCTTTTTCTTCTTTAGTTCTTTAACAATTATTATTTCAGGAAAGTAGTAAATTTTCCATTGAATATGAATAATTGTAACAATAAAAAATTAAAATTTAGACCCCTTTTGTCACATTTGACTTGATATTTTTCTTGTTGATCGGAAAAAGATTGATACCTTTGTATGTGCTCTTTTTAGTAATTGACATGATTAGTGTGGCCTCATTATAAGGGTACTTTTGGTAGTTTTTATATACTCCTATTAAAAATGACGTAATGAAATCATTCTTTATTTCCTAAGCTATGTCCCTAGTTTAATGATGCCAAACAAATTGAAACTGAAGAGTACTTTTTACGTTATCTTCAGTTTATAAATTTCTTATTAAATGCTAGAAGTCTTATCTAAATGTGGATATTTGAAATGAGTTGGTAAAAAGAATAGAATCCTACAGAATTAGCTTCTCTTCTTCCTTACCCTAGTAATCCCTGAAAACTTTGTTATTTCATCCTAATGAGAAAAAGAAAATTAAAGATTTTAGTCTTGGAAAGCATAATAGACATCTTAGTGAAGGAGAGACTAAAATACAATCATGTAAAACCTTAGGAGACACTAACATATACAGCAAGCCCGACAAGTAAAACTCTTCTCTTTAATTGTTAATTTGACTGTGAAAAAAGTCTATTAAAGTCCAGCCAATGTTATCTTCTCCTTTCTTTGCATTCTTCTAAATCTCTAGTCACATAAAGCAGCCCCCATCGCCACAAATATTTCAAAATTTTGGACACACTCTTTATGTTTAAGTATATGTGATCATAAGCAGATAGAAATGACAAATTATTGGATCATCAAAATCCCCTAAAACTCAACTTTTTACCCTGATTTCATGCTAGGCAACAAATTTAAGGGTGCAAAAACATCTAAGTGTTGTGCACAAGTTTTAACTTAGAAGGAAGTTGCAGAAAACTATCTGCGTTGCAGCAATACTACTTCAAACTATACCATAATTGTCAATAAGTTTCAACATTCTGTTTTCTGTACAGAGAAAAGAAGTCAAGGAATAGGAATTAGTTACTTTCTAATGTTCCATAAATGCTACTACTAAGCATTAACCATATTCATTATACCAAAACAGCAGATATTGACCTTTCTTGAACAAAGAGTGCCCAAGATGAGACAGCATGAATGCTTAAGAAGGCATAGTTCAGCATTCCTCCGAAACTACAGCAGAGGAAAAACACCTTTTTCCGACAGCCCTCGAGGTAGTTGTTTGCCAACCTTGATCCTCCTTGTAACATTCAATCTGCAATCACAAAAAGGAGCGTTGGCTACCAGAACCGAAACCTGTATATAATGAAGCTAAGCATAACAAAAACAATGAAATAAATAACTATATACCGTGTCTATTATTTCATTATCAGATTTAACCCCTCCGATTACATAAATGGACTCCTTTAGAACAGCAGCTGCTGAATACCCCCTAGAACAGTTCATTGGTTCCCCAATCATCCATGTTCCACGACGGGGATCATATATCTCAATGCTCGGCACCATTTGATACCCATCATGGCCACCAAGTGCATATCTGAAATGACGCTAAAAGTGAATAACAAGAAGAAATTCAACCCAAATAAAGGTTGCGGGCAATGCCTAATAAACCCCCCTAGTAACTCTTCAGATAAAATACTTCTATTCTTGAGGACATAACTCAGTACCAAAGATATACAATCCAAAAAAGTTATAAAAGGACAACATACAACTTTCCCCTCAAAGCAACCAACGCATGAGATCCTCTTTTCGTGCTCATACTCTCAATTTTTGTCCAAGAATGTTCTCTGGGGTCAAATCTTTCAGCAGTCCTGAGGTAATAGCTAATAAGAAAGATGTTACAAGAGAACACAGCAGAAAACTAAAAATAGACTCGACTACTTTCACACATGCAGATAATCCTCCTGTTTATATGAAATAAAAGAGCTGTTGCAGATTTCTATTAAAACATCTCGATGCAGTTAGCACTAAAATGGACCACATGTTGGAAAACAACAAGCAACTCTCCTTTCTCAGGGAAAGATCAAAGAGAATTGCAATTCAATGATTGGAGAAATAACGCCCAAATGTCAAGCTTCTTGGGCACATATACATTATAAAGAAAGAAAAGAACAGCAATTCAGCAATAACTTACGCCAAATAATTGTTTCCATCAAATCCACCAACAGCATATAGTGCACCATTAAGTTCTGCTGCTGCAAGAGCAAATCGCTGCAGATGTACATGCATGGTAGACATTCATGTCAGAGGAGATAGTTTAGCACTTGTAGCAAGAAAATGGAGATACAAATGGATGCTACTTAAGAGACATAGTCCAAGAAAAAAAAAGAAAACTAAGCAAATGGAAGCCCGGACAAGAAAGAGACAACATATTGTCTTTAGTTAGCCAGTAATGAGACGAATTCAGTTGGCCATTGTGGTAAAATAATTGCTAAACAACACATCATTTCATTTTGCAATTTTTCCCCTCAACTCTTTAAGGTTTCCTCACTTGTTTATTTCTTCATATTACCTGAATACTACTAAAGGATTGAACAACGTAGAGACAAAAGAACTTCCATGGAAAAATGAAGATAAATGACCACACTAAAGACTTGCTACAAAAATTAAGAGGATGAGAATAATATCCAAGGGTAATGCACATAAGCTGTCGCATTGCAATTAACTTTTACTGTTGCCAAAGTGAGCAAGGAATAGAATAAACCTTCTGCCACATGGATCGTGTAGAAATCCATCGACCTACTTGAGGATCATACATTTCAACTTGTGAAAAGCTTTCAATTCCATTTCCACCGCCAACTGCAAAGATCTTGTCCTTTAAAGCAGCTCCAGATAAGCTACCTTTTTTCTCATTCAAACAAGGGTGCACAGTCCACTTATTATCAGCGGGGTTATATGATTCAACTTCACAAGAAGAGAGTGACATCAGTATCAGCAACTTAAGAGAAAGGGGGTGGGGAAAGGAGGGTATGTGAAGGAAGGGACTACTAGCATTACCTCCGTTGGACCACAAGCTTCCACATCTGCCACCAAATACATAAATTTCTCTACTCAGGTTTGCAAGTGCGAAAAACGATCGAACTGAATTCATTGGCTTAAGTGACTTGAAGACATCATTTAAAGGAGAGTATGAGTCGAAGGCCGATAACCACGATACACCATCATATCCTCCAGCTAGGATGATTGACTCATCATTCAGATGTGCTACATCATCTGAATCAACCACATTTTCACCAGCATGTGTACGCAAAGGATTTGAGGACTCCAACATCAAGCATTTATTTTTTAACAGTTTAATTTCTTCTTGTATATCAGCCTACATTCCATGTGGAGACAAGGGAATAAGAAAGGACAAAAACACTATGATTATCTGGTTTTTACTTCTACAGCAGACGCAACATAAATTCAAGTATGAACGTGTTGATTCATGAAGAGTAACAGAACAGACACCATATGCAATATGAAAAAATATCAAGTTCCTTTTCGAATTTGGATGACTACCTACTAATGATCTCTGACAGTCCTGAACGTGTTGCATAATTCCTTTATATCACCTATCGATTCTTTTGACATAAGAATTTTTTGTGTTGCAGTTTTCATTCCAACACCCTTTCCTCTCCAAGCAGACATAAAACAAAAAGAAAGAGGAAAATGCTATATTTTTTACCATCCTTCCAAGATGTCTAAAATATAGAAAATTCTCTAGCCTAGACCACTGAAAAAGTGATTTTAGCGTGAAACAGATGTGTCACCATAAAACTGAGATTGCAAAAAGATAAGGTTTTACCAGCTTCTGCTCCAGACCACCCATCTTTTTATGTTGCTCTTCGTTAAAAGCTATTAGTTCCTCCATTCCTTGAAGCAGCTACACTAAGAGAGAAAGCTGAGTCACATAGAACAAATGTACAACAGAAATGCTGTCATGCATGATGAAAAGAAGCACATATTACGCAAAGATGAAGAACCTGAACTACAAAAGAAGGATAAACAGCCGAGTCACAGGAGCTTTCTTCATTCTTCTCTTCTCCAGGAAGCCGTGCTTTCCGAAAAGCTGCTTTGCCAATGCTTACATCATTTACAGGGTTACCTAGCACTTCGTTGGTTCTTTCCTCTGCATGTCCATTTGTAGGGGCCCCTGAACATTCACGCTCAAGAACTAATTCTCTGAGTTTCTTGTATATAAAATCCTTCTCATCTAGTGCAGCGTGAAAATCAAGTGGTGACTCCAACTGCAGAACACTGCCCTTTGAACAAGGAGAAATGTCTCCGGCACCGAACTTCCTGTTCACATCAACGGAACTGGACGACTTATTTTCCAAGACTTGTGGCTCAAAAGATCCATTATCCGCTATCATGACATTTTCAGGTAGATCTTGGATTATATTTCCCCAGTTTGCTGAGTTATACAGTGTTTTACTTGGAGCAATTGCAAGAGATGCCAGTTTGGAGATCAATTTATTAGATTGAACATGATCTAGCTCAAACCAGAAATGGTTCTGACTATAATAGTTATCCAATATTATTGGTTTAAACTGATTTTCTGGCAGTGGTTGACACTGCAGACGGACACGTATCTGAACCTTCAAAAGAAACAGCAAAGTTTCAGTATAAGAATCCCTACTAGGATATTACCAGGCAAGCATCAACAAAAGCAGATAAAGCTAAGAAGAAAACATGATATAAAACCTG